TGAGCAGTGAAAAAAATTTCTAGCATATAAACAAACTGAGTTTAACTTGATTAACACTATAGGAGGAAAAAATCGCTTCTGAATGCATAAAAAGCAGACACGAACGGTCTGTGTGTGGCAGTGTAAAACGAATTTCATGCGGAGCTAAGTGGGCGGGTCAGGCGGGACTTGCCTGTGTGCGGTACTGAGTCATGGTATTTGACGACGATACGAATCCTAAATAATTATTGACGGTCGCGACATAAATGTGCAAGAAGTTACTAAGGATCAGGACGTATCATACTCCAGGCTTCTTGATCTTTCGGTCCGCTGCGCCCTGATAGTCTCCAAAGCACGCAGAACGACCAGGTTTATCCTTCGGAATTTTAAAATTAGTGATATGAGAATGCGCAATTATAGAATTCCGTCAGACCTGGCCTAAAATAATGTTCGTTTTTATTTAGCCTCCTGCGTTCCGCGGAGCGGAAGAAAAAAGTATCCGTTGAACATTTTTTCCAAGAAAGATTTAACCTCCAATTGCCGAAATTTGATGTACCAAAAACGCTCCGAGCTTATGGATCTCGTCCCCCTTTCGTTTCGTCAATTACAAAAGGGACAATTCTTACTATATAAACTGTTAAACAATAGCGCTTTCAACCCGCTTACTACTTTGAAACATCCTGAACACCCCGACGTAATAGTCACCGTGGGGTCTGTTTATTTCTTCCTCTCGAACGTTCCGTTAAATATCGTCCGTTCTTTTCAATGAACACAATTGCAATTTGAAGCCAATTACCAAGGAATTCAAAAAGTCTGCAGAATTATTCTGCGTTTAAGAGAACTATTACTTGTTATTTGAGTTGCTAAAATCTCCCACACATTTTGGGTGCTGAATCCACCGTTTTAACTGGCCGTAGTGATGAAGTTCTAGGTCTCTGATCCCATGTCCGGTCTCACAACGGACAGTTTCTTCAGCCGACAGGGAGAAACGGTTCTTCAATGCCTCTGGTTGGTCCCGTTCCGATTTCATGTTATGGGATGGAGACTGGAATATCCGATGCAACTTTATCCATGTTTTTCTGGACTGACGTCATTTAATTGGCAGCAGTTTTTATTCTCCCGAACCGTCCTAGGTATACAAAACGCCATCCTCTGCATTTACTCATCAAGAGTTTTCTTCACTGTTAGCCCGACCCGTGCTTTATCTTTCTTTCAAAATGCCTGTGAAGTGACAGCAGATACTACTGCTTGGACAGTCAACATACTTTATCAGATTTGGTGGATTTCAGACGTTGCAGTAGGTCGGGCGGGTAACTTGACCCAAGTGTGATCAAGCAATTACTGTTATTATAAGTATTATTATTAGATGCAGATGACTTGACATTTTCCAGAATAAACTGTTTAAGAATCGATTCTTCTGCTTTTAATAGATGAACAGCGGGTTCAACTGTAGGCGCCTTCTTCCTTCAAACTTAACATCCTTCATGCCAACTGTAGTTGATTCTTTCCTCAAACTAATGTACACACCGACACTTACGTATGCTATTGTAAAGCTCTCGACATTTTTCGGAGCTACTTCTGTCCAAATAATGATCTAAATATTTTAAATAATTTATTGTAATGCTTTGCAGAAGGTCTTCGAGACCCAATTCCACGGAAAACGTTGAAATCGAGTTCCACTTCCACTGACTAAACACTCAGTAGTTACGCATGATATTCCTAACTCTCTTAGAAAACAGCTAAGAGATTTTCCCGCTCTGCTTAACAAACTCTTTTCAGTATTTCTCGTAAATTGCTTCTTTCCTGAATATTGGAAAACTTTTATTATTGTTCCGGTATTTAAATCTGGCTATCGTTCTGACGTTCAGAACTATCGAGGTGTCCATAAAACGCCTTCTCTCGATAAAACCTTTGAAAAAATTATCGCCTTAAAAAGTTCCCACTTTTGCATAGCCCATCAAGTTATTAGCCCTTCCAAGCATGATTTTTTACCAGATCGCTCTTGTGAAACATGTCATTTGTCGTTTCTCAATCTACTTACTTCTCTTCGTAATGACCATTTATCTGTTGTCCTTATTGGTTTTGATCTTAGTAAAGCCCTTGATAAAGTGCCACATAAAAGACTGTTGGTTAAATTAGAACCTCTAAGACTTCATAACCCTCTAATAGATTTAATCAAGTCATACGAGTCCAATCGTAAGCAAAAGGTTTTAGTGGGAATTTCATTCTCCAAAGAGAGCCCTATCGTAAATGATGCTCTACAAAGTACCGTTTTAGGTCCTCCTTTGTTCCTTCCTGCTTTACATAAATGAAATCTCAAAGACAGTTAAATGTCCTTAATCCCTTATTTGTGCTGACGATCGTCGATGGGTATATTCATTCAATAAATCTACGAGCCTTCATTGCCTGGAGCAAATCCATGCCGAATTGCTTGCTCTTTCAGCGTGGAGCTTAAGTGGGTAGTGGGATTCTCTCCGTCTAAATGTCGCTCTCTGTGTTTTGCACCTGATAGGCTCGCCCAGCCAGTGGTCTTTCAAGGCACAAATAGGACTTAATGTACCACCACCGAGGATTTGGGTTTAAGCTACATCAATGATCTTGATCTCTCGCCACACGCTGACAGAATTACGGCCAAGGCTGTCCAGATATTTGGCTTCATTTCTTACCATCACTATCTTCCCGAAATTATTTTAAGACTCCTATAGAATGTTTGTACTTTCACTTATTGAGTATTGTTGTCCATTCTTTGGTGTGATGAACAAGGCTGGTCGTTAAAAAATTTTCAAAAATATTTTTCTAGAAAAACGTTCGTCACGGAACATCCAAATACTTTCTACTCAGATAGGTACCAGATAGCTAGCCTAACATGGGTTCGAAGACTAGAAGCAGGCTTCTGTCTCCTCTTTCGTGTAAATAATTGTTCAAATAGTTCTCGGAGTTCAGCCCCTACTCCTGTATTTCGCTTTCACAATATTCGTACTTCTTCCTTGGTTCCTTCCTTCGATCTTTCATTACATACATCGTGTCCCCCACAGAATGCGATATCGTACCTGACAATTTCTCTCAGAGAGATAGGGCGGCTTGTTTTATGTGCACGCTCTAGTCGCCATCAGTTTCGCCGATCACCGACGCTAATCAGAATTCGACTCTGGCCCCCGCGACTTCGGACGCCCACCCCACACCCCCAGCGTCGAATTTTGCGACTTTTGAGCTCATCACCTCATTTCAACCACGAGCACTCCATCGACTTTCTTGGCGAACGCTCTGTATTCACCATCTACTAGAGGATTTGTCGAATCTCCTTTGTCCTCACCTCGATTGGACTCTAAGCGGACTGTGACCGACCACGCCTGCCTTCCTCTCGTTTCGCCACTTCGACGTAAGTGACCTCATCCGGCCTTTCCTTGATGATGCCCGTCCCGATCCTTTTACTCAGTACCGCATTCAGGCCAGTCCTGCCTGACCCGCATACTTACCCCTTCATGAAACACTGTCACATGCGGGTTGGTCGTGCCTGCTTATTATCCTCTCATGGGCGACAGTTTTCCCGATATTATTAATCTAGTCTTATGCATTTTGTTTATTTGACGGGAGTTTTTTCATTGCTCACTCATCATTCTTTGTAACAGACTACTTATTCAAGCGACAACATCACGCTTTACTTCGAGTACTCACTGTTTTCCAAATCCGTTCAACCCGATAGGTGGGAGACAAACATCTGGAAAGGGGACTATTCTCTGATGAGGAGGGAAGCGCCAGCTGTATCATGGGAGAGTGAACTGCATGGTCGAGCAGACGACAACTGGAATACTTTCAGTTCCTTACTGAAAGAGATTGTTTATTCCAATTCTCCTCTCAGAAGAAAGACAATCACAAACCGCCCTAAATAGATAAAAGCGGACTTAGAGGTCTCATTCAGAAAAAGGAATCGTCTATGGAGGCGTTACAGACTAACTGGCTCCGAAGAACACTTACAGGAATATAAACAGCATCGAAAGTTTTGTAAAAGTGAGGCCTCAAAGCTGCGAAGGAAGTTCGAACTGAACAAAATTCGAAATTCGTTGGAGCATCCGAAAATTCTATATGGTTATATACGAAGTACTAAAAGGACTCAGGAGCTGATCCCTGCTCTTAGGTCTGCAGATGGAAAAAGTGAGACTGATGAGCAGGTTAAAACGTCCCTGCTTCCCGACTTCTTTCAGTCCGTCTTTACCCGAGAACCCAGTTCTATATTTGTCTATCCATCTGTTTGCCAACTAACCTCTCCTCCCATTATCCTTCCCCCTCCTACATCCCCCTTACCCTCCTTAACCGAGGAAACACCCTTTTCATCGGCCATAGTTAGGGCCGAGCTACTCCGACTGAAACCTGCCAAATCGCCTGGCCCAGATGGAATTCCCGCACCAGCACTTCGTGAACTTGCCAATGAAGTGTGCAAGTTATTATCCGCAATATTTCAAAAGTCATTTGAAGACGGCGAGCTACCGGAAGAATGGAAGTGCGCACTCATTACCCCGATCCATAAAGGAGGCTCAAGACTTGACTGCGGAAATTATCGTCCCGTCAGTCTTACTTGCATCGCGTGTAAAATAATGGAACGCATTATCAAAAGACACTTGATGAAATACCTGGAACAGAACAAAATATTGTGTGATGCCCAACACGGCTTTCGTCCAGGGCGCTCATGCTTAACGAGTGTTCTTTACTCGAACGAGAAATGGACACGAACTACCGATAAGGGTTTTCCAGTGGATGTCATATTTTTTAACTTCAAGAAGGCCTTTGACAGTATCCCACACAGGCTTCCTTTACAGAAGATCTGGGATATAGGAATTCAAGGAAGAATGTTCAAATGGGTCAGAGGTATTCTGTCCTCCGCAGTATAAAGAATCGTCGTTGGTTACTCTACGTCGGGATGGGCAAAGGTGGGAAGTGGTGTCCCACAGGGTTCTGTCTTACGCCCAGTACTCTTCCTGATTTCTGTTAATTAACGCATCAGCGAAGTGAATTGCGAGCCCCTCATGTTCGCGGATGACATAAAAATATGGAGTGAAGTCAAGTGTGATGATGATGATGATGATGATGATGATGATGATGATGATGATGATGATGATGATGATGATGATGATGATGATGATGATGATGATGATGATGATGATGATGATGATGATGATGATGATGATGATGATGATGCAGAGAAGTTGCAGTCGAACATCAACAAACTGTGTGCTTGGTCGATCAGATGGCTTTTGAAGTTTAAGGTGTCCAAATGCGTGGTTTTGCACCTGAACACCGGCCGCAATGCCTCTCCCAAACACCGGTACTATATTGACGAGACGAGGTTAGAAACTGTGGAAAGAGGACCACAAATCTATCGCCATCAGAACACTGTAGAAAGATGGTCCAGAAGGCAACTAGTACTCTACACTGGATCAGATGTGCATTTAAAATAATTCCTCCCAATCTCTTTGAAGGACTCTTTGGTGTCTTTGTAAGACCTCATCTGGAGTATTGAACGCCAGCAGCTTCACCATTAATGAGAAAGGATATCGACTTACTCGAACAGGTGCAACGCAGAGCGACAAAGATGGTCGACGGTCTTAAGTATTTGTCTTATCAGGAGAGGCTGAATTTGCTTGGCTTATCCCCCCTTTCTTATAGACAAATAAACTACAGTCTAATTTGGACTTTCCGGATTGCCCGCGGACATGGTTGCTCATTAAAAGCAGAGGAATTCTTTGAGTTTGCTCGTACAAACCAACTACGCGGCCATATCTACAAAGTCGTGAATGAGCGCACGCGCTTAGATCGTCGAAAATTTTCACTCAGCCAGCGGGTCATCCGACCGTAGAACTCGCTTCCAAGCGAGATGGTGACGGCTGCCACAGTTTGCGTGTTTAAAAGAAAACTTGCTCGCCTAGTTTTAGACAGAAGTCGGCTTTTACAGCATGACTATGCACAGCCATTTTTGTAAAAAACCCTCCGCAATTATTTACAGTGACCTTATGCACTAACTTAAGATTACGATTGAACTGTGACTCAATCACAATGTAAATGCCCGTAATTTTATTTTTGAGTACGAATCTGCGAAAGCACTGTACATAAGTAGGATCACTAAGGGCTCTGCCTCTAACCCACCAAATATATACATACATATATACTGGAAAGTCGGCATCCCAAGAAATAAAATTTGAAGGCAGAGGCGTACTTTGGGAAAGGTATTTTATTGCGTGAATTTTCGACGCTGGTTCCCCAGGTCGTCGTCAGACGCAGACTGAGAGTAAATGTGCCGGCAACAGTTAACATCTGGCAGTGCACACAAAAAATCGATAGTCGTTCGCGTTTGCGCCCGTTAGCGGCCGCTATTTGCGTCAATCCGGCCCGATTGGCTCTCGTCTCTTCCATTTCTCCTTGAGACTTTTGTACGCGGCGTCCAACTCGATATGGCGGTTGATGCACGATTCGTCCGAGTGCATGGCCTCAAGGAACTCTCGGCCTTTCTTTAAGGGGCAGGCACCTACAATCCGTGCAGACTTTATCGTCGTTTCCATCTGCAGAACGATGTTTCTGTTCTGCCCTTGATTTGTGATATTTTTGATCGAGCTAAGAGATTGTCTGAAGAAAAACAGCTAGCCGAAGAGGTACAGTTTACCGAAAACCATTCGTTAAATGTCTCGAAACTTTTCTCTAGAAAAATACGAACTCAGAGAAAGACGCAGCATCCCATCCTCCGAGACGATCTCGGAAATCCCATAGTTGATGCCCAGTTAACCGCTGATAGCTTCAATGATTTCCTGTCCAAAACGTTTATAGAAGACTCGACCACTCCGCTTCCGACCATCCAGTCATTGACCGGGGCAGTTCTAGAAACTATAACTTTCACTCTGTGGGATGTGACTGTTGCGATTCGGCGTTTTCGTCAATCTTATAGTCCAGGCACTGATGGTGTCCCAGTAAGCATTTTAAAAGCCGATGCAAACACGATCTTCCCATCCCTCTTATGCAAGATATTTAATCTCGCTCTTGAAAGTGAAACTTATCCTACCTTGTGGAAGGAATCACACATTTTGCCCATTCCTAAGCACGGCAAATCTACATCATTTGATGACTTTCGGCCAATAAACACCCTCCCTGCAGTTTCGAAGATCTTAGAGACATTGATCAAGGATAAGATGATGTGTCACTTAACAGCGAATAACTTACTGAGTGCTGCTCAGCATGGATTCCTCAAAGCTCGATCTTGTGACACCTGTCAACTCTCTTTCTTTGACTATGTTCTCCAATCTAGGGACCATGGTTTTGCTCTTTACACGGTATATTTCTATTTCACTAAGGCTTTTGATCGTGTTGACCATGCTCTTCTCCTCTTGAAATTGTCCTCTTTCGGAATAGGTGGCAAACTTTTGAATTTTATATCTTCTTACTTGGGCACTCGCACACAACGAGTTAAGATTTCCAATACCATCTCCAACCCCACACGTGTGAGGAGTGGAGTTATTCGGGGTAGTGTACTCGGCCCGCTTTTATTTTGCCTTTTCGTTAATGATGTACCCGATTTATTTCAGAATGGTAAGCCTTTCATGTATGCCGATGATCTTAAAGTTGCATATCGATATAAACCGGCAGATCATGACATCGTGCTTGAGCTCCTAAAGAGCGATCTACAGACTTTCGCCCAGTGGTGCCGCACATGGCGCCTTTCTCTTTCTTGGCATAAGTGCTCATTCATGGTGGTTGGCGACGACCACCAGCCTCAACTAAATATTGAAGGTCACTCCATAAATGTGCCTAGGGTTATAAAAGATCTGGGCATATCATACTCCAAGAGTCTCAATCTCTCGGAGCACTGTGCCTTGATAGTCTCCAAAGCACGTAGAACGACCGGGTTTATCCTCCGAAATTTTAAAACTAGGGACATTAGAATGCGCTTTTTCAACATGTACGTTAGACCTGGTCTGGAATACTGTTCGTTTTCATTTAGCCACATGCGTGCTTCTGAGCGGAAGAAAATAGAATCCGTTCAACACTTTTTTACCAAGAGAATTTTAACCCCGGAACACCGACATTTGTCTTACCAAGAACGTTGCCGGCTTACAGGCCTCGATCCTTTATGGTTCCGTAGATTACAAAAAGGACTATTTTTGCTATTTAAACTCTTATATAATCACACATTTAACCCACTCACCTCTTTAAGACATCATATCCACCCACGACGTAACAGTCACCGTGAGGTCTTCTTATTTCTGCCTCTGGCACGTACTGTTAAATATCGTCGGTTCTTTTCTGTAAATGCAATTGCTATTTGGAATAAACTACCCATGAGTATTAAAACTCTGCAAAATTATTCTTTATTTAAGAGAACTATTACTCGATTTTTGCATTCAGAAAAGCTCCCGCAAATTTTGGGTGCTGAATCTACTGATCAACTGTACCGTAGCGATGGCGTTTGTGGTCTCTGAACACTATGGCCGGTCTCACCAGCTGTTCCTCAACGCCTCTACTTTGGCTATCTCCAACTTCATGAAAGGAATTTGACGTCCGATAATCTCCGATACCGTGCAACCTCCCCCCTTCTTGACGGTCGATATTCTACCACCGCCGGCAGTTTTTTCTCCTGAGCCCTCCAAACCATAAAAACCACCATCAACTATATTTTTATCCCTTTAGCTCAGGAGTTTTTTTCACTGCCGGTCGGATTTATGTTTAAACGCTTCCCTTGACAATGCCTGTAAACTGGCATTAAATAAAAATTTATTTATTTATTTATTCTGTCCCAAGCAAACATATGCCCCGTGTCCAGGGTATGCATGGCTACTTGAGACAGGTGGTCTCGCCTCTTTACTGCAAGTTGGTGTTCGTGAATGCGTGTTAGAATATGGATCAACTTATTAACCACTTCCCGCGGATCCTACAAAAGCACAGATCACGTCTGTTGATAAAGTGTTGAAGCGCCTCACTGGAAAAAATAACTGTCAGGAGATATTTCTAAGTACCTGAAACAAACTGAGCCCACCATTGCTAGCATCTATGGACTACCTAAAGTCCACAAAGCTGAAGTGCCTTCGCGACCGATTGTATCGTTAATCGGCGCGCCCAACTACAAAATTTCAAAGTGGCTCTTCCACAAACTTCATCCACTTACTAGGAATTGTGAAGAGTCGATTGAGAACTCTACAGAGTTTCTTAAGAAATTAAAAGGAATCACAGTTTCCTCCGACGAGATCATGGTCTTCTTCGCTGTCGTCTCCCTCTTCACGTCAATACCATTGGATCTGGCAAAACGATTCACAGAGGACCTCCTGAAATCCTGTGACATGGATGTTCCCGCTATTGCCTTACTCGAACTCTTAGACCTGTGTATGGAAACAAATTTTTCGTTCGACCAACAGCACTACCAACAACTGTAAGGAGCCCCAATGGGGTCATCTATCTCTGGCTTCCTCGCCGAGATCACAATGCAGAAACTACAGGCCACGGCTCTTCCGTTAGTTAGCCCTAAATTGTGGCTGCGGTACGTGGACGACACATTTGTGATCGTTAAAAAGGATCAACTAGAAACGCTCCACAACAATGCCGGGGATTTAATTCACACTCAAGAAAGAAGTTGACAACAACCTCCCATTTTTGGATGTTCTCGTGCAGCGGAAGACCGACGGGACATTGCGCGCATCGGTGTGCCGCAAACAAACCTATGCGGAAGTCATTCTACACTACGAGACCAACCACCCCATTTTCCACAAACGGAGTACGGTCAACTGCCCGCTTAATCGGGCAAAAAACACACTGCTCGGACGAAGACGACTACGGAGTCGAACTAAACTACCTGTGTGAATTATTTTCCCGAAATGGGTATCCCATGGATTTTGTGCGCCGATGCATGAGACAGAAAGAGTCAAAGGAAATGGAACAAAGAACTTCCAGTCAGACACCCAAGCCAAATACATGGCAAACCCTCACTTACATCAAAAATGTGTCTGAACTCGTGGAAAGGCACCTAAAGAGGCACCAAATTCTGGTGACATACAGACCAACGATTGCAATACGTACTAAGATAGTACACCCTAAGGATAGGGTCGGATATTTAGATAGATAGATAATTTTTATTAAAGACCCGTCGGGGTCCCATCAAAGCAAGTTAAAATAAATTTGCATGCGAGTTTTAGACGAGGTGGGCTGAATCTTTACAAAATGCAATTCATAGTTTCTGAATTAGAAGTCCATTGAGAAACATGATGATTGAGGGGTGAAAAAAACTCCTCGGAAAAAGTTAAAAATGATTGGATTAATTTTACAGGAGAAAAAACCCCTCTTTAAAAATAGTAACAGAATAAAGCGAGCAGGACTGGCCTGTAGGTGGCGGTATATAACGAAATGTTGTCGGTCATCGTCAGGGTATCATTAAATGTCCGCCTTGATGGGTACGAATGTGGGTCAGACAGGACTGGCTTCCAAATGGCATTGTATACGGGATTCACAATTGAGATCGTCTGGGCCGCATTGGTACGCCGCGTCAAAGAGGCCAGACGAGAGGAACCGAGATGTGATCGGCCACAGCACGCTTGGAGCTCAGCCGAGCAGTGAGGAAGGGAGGTACGACCGAACTACTAGTAGACAGTGAATACTGAGGGTTCCGCCGTGAGCGTCGACAGACCGCATGAGGTCGGAATGCGGGAGATGACATAAAAAACCGCGAAAATTGTCGCTATGGGGGAAGGATAGCGATGGATTTAGAAACCAATTAAAAGCAGGGGTTTCTAATGATATAATTAAGAGTTACCACTTAATCTACCACTTAATCCCAGGAGGACCCTTCTCGAAGTCAAGAATCTGAGTGTTCGGGAATGAGACCGTTAACAGTGCCTTTATGCTTTCCGGTGTAAGATGGTT